GTTAGTGCTGTTGTAAACTTCTTTTACCTTGACCATTTTCTTCATGGGAAGAGCTGTCATAGTTGCTTGTTCAAATCTGTTTTGGCAATCTATCTTTCTAATGCTTTATTGTTTATGCTTTGCTTTTTAGAAATATTGTGCAGTTTAGTTATGAGTTCATCATATCATATTTTTTGTACTAAAAACATGCTCATACTTTTTGGTTTGACAATTGCAGGTTATCTTTCCAGCACTTGATATACGAGTCAAGAATGTCGCTGGAACGTATTCTCTAGAGCATAAAGGCGAAAATGACCTCTTTACCCAGCTTCTTGCTTTATTACAACTCGATATTCAAAATGACGATGCTCTTCGGAGGGAACTTGCATCCTGCACAGGAGCCATACAAACGTGCCTCACCCAGCATATGTCCAAGGAAGAAGAACAGGTCAGTGCCATATTTCCTTTTTAAACGGCCTCTTATCATATTAAGCAGTTCATATCCAACTAGATAAGGAAAACAGTATGCTGCTCAGTATCTTATGTTTGAACCAATTTTGTTCTAGGGCAAGTGCATTCTATGACAGTGTCACCATTCAAAAGTTGTTCTTAATGCCTGTTTGTGCTCTTATTAGGCATTTTATGAAGGTGCTCATTTGTTGTAATCGTGTCGAGAAGTCCTTAGCAAAATCATCTTATTACTAGGCTGTCCAACTTTCTTGCCCCTTTTTACAACATTTGAATGCTCACGATCTCCTTTATGACGGTGCTAACGGTTATAGGATGGCAAATCAAGCTGGCAAGCTTTTACTTTTAAGTATTTTGAGTGATTCTATGATATACTTTCCTGTTATTACCTTGATGTCAGTAAGGATAGGTGCAAACAAAGAAGTGATGGTAGTGGGACATATGTGGTCTTCTAGTTGCTACTCTACCGTCATTGTTTTCTCAAGTTATCACCAAGGGTTCGTATGCCAGTTTCTGTATTCTGATTAAAGGGTCACACAGCTCTCGGTGTCATGCAGGCATCTTGGACTGTATTACTCTTATTCTGCATTTTTGAAATCCCGGACTGCATGTTCTGATCAGAAGTGTTTACCTTATATGTGGATCCCATTTAAATAAGCTACATCAACCTGTGCACCTACACGGGCTGCATATAAACAATACTTTATACATCTTAACGTAAAGGGGATTCTCTAAGGATATTTGATGCATTTTTCTATCTGATTACACTTTTACACATATCCCTTTGCCATGCTCTGATTGCCTTTTTTCTACTACAACTCTTAATTCGTCAAGTGAATATTCCTCATCTTGTGATATGAAATCCGGCTGTTGTAAATTAATGGCAAGCCTCTGACTAGTAAATCTTTCATACTCCCCCCTCCCACAATTTAAGACGGTTTTTGCAAGCTAACATGGCTTGCAAAAACGTCTTATATTATGAGAGGAGGGAGTAATACATAATGATTTTGATTTTATTATATTACTTCCTGAAATAAATGGCAGTTGTAAATTCAATTACATTTTAAATTTGATCCTACCGTTATGATTGGCATCAATTACTCATTTTGTCTTTCATGATCACATGTATGCTTTAATGTTTGATATTTTTGGAATTATTCTTAATTAGGAGCCCTTGTTCTTTTCGTGATGAAACTAGGAGTATCTTGTATATACATCTATCTCTAAATTGGGATTTTCACTTTATTTTGAATTTTGATCTGCACTGTAGGGTACATATATACAATTATTTACCCATCTCTCTCTTCTGTCTCAGTTTTTTAGGTGCATATACATCTAACTTTAAAGCCAAAATCCATGTGTGTCCCACAGCACAAACATATGCTTTTTCCCCCTGATATTTCCAAAAATGTCATATGAAACCTAGTGCAAAGTGTAATATTATTATGCAGGGGCCTGCTGCAAGGTGACACAAGTGGCAATCTACCTGGTGTGAAGTGCAATTTACTCTAATTCTGATGATGTTGGGCAATGTGTGGTGGCTTGAAGGGAGCCTCCATTTAGTAAATATAAAATTGTGTGTCTGTTCTTGTATCCCTTGCTGTTGCACTCTAAAGAGGCTGCCCAACATCGATCAGAAGCTTTGACTAATTGTTTGTTTGAGTAATATAATCCAGATAAACAAGTGGGACAGCTGGGTTGCAATATTAACTTGCATGAACTAGATCTTTGGGAGTTCAGAAAATGTGGCAATTTTTTTCTTTGGATTATGCTCTTTGCATGGTCATGTATCTTTTGTGGTGTCTGCATCCTAAAATCATATCTAGATGATGTGATTACTCAAGATATTTGGTGTTGGTGACTGATCGTATTTCATACCTATTGGTGGCTGATCATCTGATTTTCTAGGTCTTCCCATTGCTTACCAAGAAATTTTCATACGAAGAGCAGTCAGATTTAGTATGGCAGTTCTTATGCAACATTCCTGTAAATATGCTGGCAGAGTTCCTTCCGTGGCTCTCAGCTTCTGTTTCATCTGACGAGCATCAGGATATTCGTAACTGTTTATGTAAAATAGTTCCTGAAGAGAAACTTCTTAAACAGGTCTCACAATTGCGCCTCTTTACTGTTTCTGGCAATAACTTGCTTGTTGTCCTGTTAAATTTGAGTTTTAAAATTTGTGAAGGTTGTATTCACTTGGATCGAAGGGAAAGCAACAAGAGAAGTGGCACAGAGTGTTGTCAGTGATAATTTGGAAAGAAGTCATTGTTGCAAGGATGCTTCCTTTGTTAATCAAGCGGAGAAACTTATTTATCCACTTGAACAGTCTAAAGTTGGGCATATAAAGTATACAGAATCTAATGATTGTCAGGCTGACAGGCACCCCATAGATGAGATTTTATATTGGCATAATGCTATCCGTAAAGAATTAAATGATATAGCAGAGGAGACAAGAAGGATGCAGCAGTCTGGAGATTTTGCTGATATATCAGCCTTCAATGCGAGACTTCAGTTTATTGCAGATGTGTGCATCTTCCACAGGTATTTAGTTTTAATCTTCAATTATTCACACTTTAATTTAAGATTTTATTGTGCAACTATGTATATACACTCCTTTTTAATGCTGCTTTTCTATGTAAGTTGACATTGAGTATACCATTTGTTTGTTATTAATAATATAATTGGCACTCCCATTCATCATTTGTAGTGTTACACTGTTTGCCTTGCTTAACATACCCTGCCTGCTGCTTGGGTAGTTATGTGGCTTATGCACTATTTTTGACATCGTGGTGCACTGGTGGCTTTTGCACTTTTGCTACACACGAGTTTGATTTTTTTTATCCTAGTATGGTACAGGTGATTACATACACTTGAGCAAGCAGTATCACAAACGTGCTAATTCTCCTAAATTTAGGAACTGTTTAACTGAGAATAGTTCTGCACATATGTATTATTGTTTTGTTGTACATAAAGGTATATTTTTCTGTGCATGTATTGGTGTCATGCTAGTCACACCTTGTTGTGTACTAGAACTTGTTTTCTCCTGGTTCGTTTTTGACACTTTTCACCGGTAAAACAGAACGTTCTGAAAGTAGACTATGTACCTTCTTTAATTTCACCTGTTGCATTTTTTATTATTATCTACAGTATCGCCGAGGATCAGGTTGTATTTCCTGCAGTCAATAGTGAGCTGTCCTTCGTGCTGGAGCATGCTGAAGAAGAGCGTCGATTTAACAATTTTAGATGCTTAATTCAGCAAATCCAAATGGCAGGAGCAAAATCAACTGCAGCAGAGTTTTACTCTGAATTGTGTTCACATGCTGATCAGATAATGGAGGCAATTGAGAAACACTTCTGTAACGAAGAAACCAAGGTTAGTACTTCGTAGTGATGTTTCTGTGCCACTGGAATTATTGCTTTGTCTGTCAGAATGTCATCTTTGGTTTAATTTACCTAGGTGCTTCCCCAAGCTAGGGTTCTTTTCTCTCCTGAGAAGCAAAGGGAACTTCTATATAGAAGTCTTTGTGTCATGCCATTGAAGCTATTGGAACGTGTTCTACCATGGTTGGTGTCAAAACTGAGCGATGAGGAGGCATCTTCTTTTCTTCAGAATATGCGCTTGGCAGGTCATCTCTTTACTCTGATTATTTTAAGTTATTTTCTTTATACATTATACTTAGCTTTGAAGTTTTCATTGGGAATTCAATGTTTGCTGAAAGATTCATGTGAAACAGCACCATCATCTGACACCGCATTGGTCACTCTTTTCTCTGGTTGGGCATGCAAGGCTCGCTCAGAGGATAAATCCAATTCTGGAGAATATATATGCTTAACATCAGGGGCAGCAAGATGCCTGTTGGATGATGTAGAAGAGCTGAAAAAGTGTCAATCATTCTGCCCATGTGCTTCACGTATCAGTGCAGATGTTGCTCTTCATCTGGAAAATGAAAATGGTTCTAGGCCAGGCAAGCGAGGAAATGATGCAGAATCTGTTCCTGGTACTAATGGAAGTCACTGCTCTCAAATTACTGACACTGTAGCAAGTCCATGTAGCAAAAAACCTTGTTGTATTCCTGGGTTGAGAGTAGACACGAGCAATCTTGGCATCGGTTCACTGGCTTCTGCAAAGTCCTTTCTCTCCCTGTCATACAATTCTTCTGCGCCCTCATTATATTCAAGCCTTTTTTCATGGGACACAGATACAGCATTGTCTTGTTCCGATGGCATCTCAAGACCAATTGATACCATATTCAAATTTCACAAGGCAATTCGCAAGGATTTGGAGTACTTAGATGTTGAATCTGGAAAGCTCATCGATGGTGATGAATCTTGCCTTCGCCAGTTCATTGGAAGATTTCGTTTATTGTGGGGTCTTTATAGGGCGCACAGCAACGCTGAGGATGAAATCGTGTTTCCTGCTTTAGAATCAAGAGAGCCATTGCACAATGTGAGCCATTCATACACTCTTGACCACAAGCAGGAAGAGCAATTGTTTGAAGATATATCTAATGTTCTCTGTGAGCTTTCACAGCTACATGAGAGCCTGAACCAGCCACATACTGAAGCGAATGAAGCAGAGAAACACTATTTGAATTCATGTAATGTGATTGATTCGACTAGAAAGTACAATGAGCTTGCTACGAAGCTTCAAGGAATGTGCAAGTCTATCCGGGTTGCCTTGTCTAATCATGTCCACAGAGAAGAACTTGAGCTGTGGCCATTGTTTGATAAACATTTTTCGGTGGAGGAACAGGATAAGCTTGTAGGTCGTATAATTGGTACAACAGGTGCTGAGGTTCTCCAATCAATGCTACCTTGGGTTACATCAGCGCTTAATCAAGAAGAACAGAACAAGATGCTGGATACATGGAAGCAAGCAACTAAGAATACAATGTTTGGTGAGTGGCTAAATGAGTGGTGGAAGGGAGTTCCAACACCATCTGATTCTTCGTCAGAGGCATCCCCCATTCCGGAAGGTTTGTGCTGTTGGTCTCTTATGGCTTTGCCCTCTATTATTAACAATGTTTTCAACTGCATTGCGCCCCACGTGTTAATACCATGTTTGTTAGTCTAATCTACGGTCAAAATTTGGCACAAAATAGGAAGGTGACCAATAAACCCAGACAGAGGTAGTAGTTGAAAAAACTGCAGTATTATCAGAATATTTAGAAAATAGTTTGTTGCCTTCCTGGTGTTATTCTAATACAAAATGACACACATTTGATGCATGTTTGACCCTTTTTCCCGGTATCTGATGCTTGTTTAGTTCGGAACTAGTTCTACGATGGGTTCCTTTCTTTCCAATGATTCTTTCTTTGATAACTATAATTTGCCATTTACAGACAGTCATTCACAAGACAAGCTTGACCAGAATGACCAGATGTTCAAGCCTGGCTGGAAGGACATATTTCGAATGAACCAGAGTGAACTTGAGGCAGAGGTTCGAAAGGTTTCACGGGATCCAACACTTGATCCAAGGCGAAAGGCCTATCTAATCCAAAATCTCATGACCAGGTTTGTCGTCTTGATATTTCAGTGAACAAATTGTTAAGAAATATATTAATAGAATTTTATTGACACATGTGTACCTTAGCCGCTGGATAGCTGCTCAGCAAAAGCTACCGGATCCAAGATCAGAAGAGTGTAGTGAAGGTGCCGGTATACCTGGATGTTGTTCTTCTTATCGTGACCAGGAGAAGCAAATATTCGGTTGTGAGCACTACAAACGGAACTGTAAGCTTGTTGCCGCTTGCTGTAACAAGCTGTTTACATGCAGATTCTGCCATGATAAAGTTAGCGACCATACAATGGAAAGGTGAATTCTGTATTATGCAAGAACACTTATCTTGTTACCCTGAAGGGTATTTCTATTGTTTGATCACACTTTCTGTAAGCCCAATTTCAAACTGCTAATCAGCTCTAGTAAAAAAAAGAAGATACATAGGAAACAGATAGAAACATGCAGTTTTTTTGTCTTCATATAAAAAGCATAAAGTTACCTACATTTTGTGATTAGTTATTTCATTCATATTTCAATTGATTTCTTATTTATCCCTTTTCTTGCTTAGTTGGCTTTGCTTGTTCATATGTGGTTGCATTGCTGAGATGAACAAATACGCATCAGCTCTGTCTGAGCTGATACGTTTTCTGTTCCTTGACCATTGTATTTACGTTCAGAATGCCGTGGCAGTGCTTCACCTATCTATAATACTCCCTCCGTCCCAAAATTCTTGTCTTAGATTTGTGTAGATACGGATGTATCAAGTCACATTTTCGTATTAGATGCATCTGTATCTAAACAAATCTAAGACAAAAAATTTGGGACGGAGGGAGTATATAAAAATGAGGACCAATGAGTATAGTTTCTTGTGTTCTTGAAAAGAAACAAATGACTTCCCTACTGTACGTTCTTTCTTCTAGACGGTTGCAATCATATCAAATGTAAATGTGCCAACATTACTTCTGCCTGTAGGAAAGCAACACAGGAGATGATGTGCATGGTATGCCTGAAGGTTCAACCTGTCGGTCCGAATTGCCAAACTCCATCTTGCAATGGACTATCCATGGCAAAGTATTACTGTAATATCTGCAAATTTTTTGATGACGAAAGGTAACATTAGCCAACATCATTGAAAGCTCATACTTTCTCTGCTATATAATTGGCACTGGGATTTCGAATTTTTTGGGCCATCGAACAACTATCCCAAATTATTGTTTACGTTTTAGTTTCTATGTATTTTTTTGATATGTAGCCATCTCCACGTCCAAATTCAAATTCAAATTCGGATTAGATTACATCAAAAACTGTCATTGACATTATTTATATCTGACATATATTGAATGTACATATATTCGTATAAAAAGACTCGTATGTATCTGTGGTCAGTAATAATCTAGCCCACATGCAAATCTGAGTTAAGTTTTGTACGCCTGATAGAGCAGCATAAGAAGTATTACTGTCATTAGTTTTATAAGATATTTACAACAGGAAATAATTAGTGCAAACCAGTTCCGTTCACCAGTTGATAGTCATCATCGGTAAACATACAAAATAGTCTGTCGAATGTACTACCTTTTGAATTTAAGCTAAATGTTGATTAGTGTTAGGAGAAACGACAGCGAGGGATTCAATGTCCATGATTACCTTTAAGGGAACGATTAGTGCAAACCAGTTCCATTCACCAATGAATAGTCATCATCTGTAAATAAAATAGTCTGTCGAATGTACTACCTTTTGAATTTAAGCTAAAAGTTGGCTAGTGTTAGGAGAAATGACTCTGAGGGATTCGATGTCCATGATTACTTTAATCTTCCACACTTTTTGTAAGTCGTCAGAGAATGAGATTTTTTTTTCTCCTAGCTTTTGATTTCCTCAAGGTATACTTACTAATTGGCTTCATCATGAAAATTGCATTAACAGACCCTTAAGAAGAAACAGTGTCGCGTTTGCTCAACTTTTAGATATTTGGATGTCACCTTGGGTTATTTTCGCCAATGCTGTGTTCAGTTGTTCAAATGCAATAACACAAGCTAGAACCTGTTGGTTTCCCAAGTGGCTATGTTGTGTCATACTCCCTCTGTTCCTAAATACAAGTCTTTTTAGAGATTCTAATATGGACTAAATACGGAGCAAAATGAGTGAATCTACACTCTAAAATATGTCTATGTACATCCGTATGTAGTCCATATTGAAATCTCTAGAAAGACTTATATTTAGAAACTGAGGGAGCAGTTTACATTGGACATTGAAATACCGTTTCCATGGCAAGCAATTGGGCCCCTTCTAATGCTGGGATATTTTACAGGACTGTCTACCATTGTCCGTTTTGTAATCTGTGTCGTCTTGGTAAAGGTCTTGGTGTTGATTTCTTCCATTGCATGAAGTGCAATTGCTGCCTTGGAATGAAACTAACAGAACACAAATGTCGGGAGAAGGGGCTAGAGACAAACTGTCCAATTTGCTGTGACTTCCTATTCACATCAAGCGCGGCAGTTAGAGCTCTTCCTTGTGGTCACTTCATGCATTCAGCTTGCTTTCAGGTATTAGCAAGTAAAATAATAATTTGTTTTTCTGATAATATATATCTGGCTACTGGCTGTCAAAAATGCTTCTGACAATTGTCAACCCCAGGCATACACTTGCAGTCACTACACTTGTCCTATCTGCTGCAAATCCTTGGGAGATATGGCGGTAAGCTGCAGTACTTTTACGGCATTGCAAATCTTTGCATTTATGGTAATGAAGTTAATCTTCATCTCGAGTCCCATGAGTGTTTTCATGTCTTAGTGAAAACTATTATTTCTCCTATTTTGCTCTTCATCTAGAGGGCATTCCAGTAGCTGATAAGTGATGTTTCTTTAAGCGTGAAACAGACACATTTTTCATTACTTTGATACCGGAAGCATGTACCTCCATTCGAGACTACACAATCAAATGTTTTATCTCTTCAGTTGTATTGTATGATTAGTCTCCCACTGACAATACAATGCTGATTCCTGACACCTGAGGGTGACTTTACTTGTGGTCTTGTTATTTAAAATAGTTCCTAAGATGCAAAATGAAGACTGTTTTGGTATTTGGGGAATTACACAGTAGGACATTTTGCTCGAGTCATGTTGAGTGACTGAATGTAATGTAGAGAAACTACAGTGGTATTGGTATCTGAAAAAAAGAAGAGGAAGCATTTTAAATTGTTGCCATTTTATGAGATGCCAATTGAAAATTGCCAGTTCCATTTTGACTTGTTTGAGATCTAGCTTCCGATCAGTTAGCTCCCGTGAAACTATTTTCTCCAATACTTTAACGTTACCATGGCAGTCTCAGAATAGTATGGACATTCTGATGTTCTTCTGTGGTTAGTTATTCCTTGGAGTGTGGGTTGTGAGCTGCTTGTTATTTATTTCTCCATTTGTCTATGTACAGGTGTACTTTGGCATGCTTGATGCGTTGTTGGCTGCTGAAGAGCTTCCCGAGGAATACCGCGATAGGTGTCAGGTATTCACGTTCTGTTCTTGTTTCATTATTTTCATATGCTGTTGTATTTATGTTCTGTTGCATTATTCATGCAGGACATTCTTTGTAATGACTGTGAAAGAAAAGGGAGATCTCAGTTTCATTGGCTGTACCACAAATGCGGCTCCTGTGGTTCTTACAATACCAGAGTTATCAAAACTGATACGGCAGATTGTTCTACCCCAAACTAGCGAGGGGAATATTCTTTCTTTTTTAGTTTTTGTCTCTGTAAATATAGTCTTACAGAACCTTGTGTAGAATAGCTACCATATTTTTTCATCCCATAGCCAGTCATTTTTGTCAAGCATAGCGTGCAATTTACTAGGTCTAGTGGTATAATCTGTAAAAATGGACATGAGCCTGACTTCATCCTGTCAGGTGCATCCTGCCTGCACTAAAGGCTTAGCATCCATGCCAAAGTATACAGTATACAAGTGTACCTGTACACAAATACCGACAGTCCTGACTTCTGTGTTCAACGGTTCCGAAAGACCATTTTCGAGCAAGATTCTTACGTTCCTTATATACACAGCTATTTTATATAAAAATATACATAGCTATTTGAAATGAGTACCATTTTAACCTTCTCTTCAAAATATTTCAATTTCGGTCGCTTGGATGGGTGAGAATCCTGCCTAAGCAAATCCTTTTTATTCCATCTTTCTAAAGATGATTGACTGTATATACAAATATAAAGAATACTCTGCCCGTGGCATAATATAAGATCTTAGGGATTTCTGTTTTCATGCCCCGCATTGCTTAGCCCTTAGTTTTTGCCCATGCTCATTTGTAGTCCTCATTTTTGCCCTCTACGTGCGGCCCACCCTTACAAAAGCCCAAACAGGGGTTTGTCATTGGGTCAAATGCTTTGACCGTTACATGATGCGGTTACTGACGCGTGGGACACCCCTTGTCAGCGGCAATGCGGTCGTAGGTGGGCTTAGTTATTGACACGTAGGACACCACCTACGGGCCCATTTGTCGCGTTTGTACGTGGGCTAAGTTACTGACGTGTGGGATACGCCCTACAAGCCCATTTGTCAGCGGCAACGTTGTATGTGGGCTAAGTTTTTTTGGATGTGCGTGGGCTAATTTATTGACGAGTGGGACACTAATTGTCAGCGCCTGCGCAGTCGTATCACGTATGTGGGCCCAGAGCAGAATGAGCGATAAAAAAGATGCTTCCTCTTATGCCAGGAAGGGTACTCAAACTCGAGACCACCCGCTTATAGAGCGCTGACCTAGTGCTCTACATGTGTTTATTAACCAACGATTGAGTATCAGTGTTGGGAAACGTAGTAATAATTTAAAATTTTCCTACGTGTCATCAAGATCAATTTAGGAGATGCTAGCAACGAGAGAGGGGGAGTGCATCTTCATACCCTTGAAGATCGCTAAGCGGAAGCGTTACAAGAACACGGTTGATGGAGTCGTACTCACGGCGATTCAAATCGCGGAAGATCCGATCAAGCGCCGAACGGACGGCGCCTCCGTGTTGAACACACGTACAACCCGGGGACGTCTCCTCCTTCTTGATCCAGCAAGGGGAGAGGAGAAGTTGAGGAAGAGCTTCGGCAGCACGACGGCGTGGTGGTGGAGCTTGTAGTTCTCCGGCAGGGCTTCGCCGAGCACTACGGAGGAGGAGGTGTTGGAGAGGGGGAGGGCTGCGCCAGGGGAAGAGTGCGGCTGCCCTCCCACCCCCTTCTATTTATAGGGTGAAGGGAGAGGGGGCCGCCCCT